TAGGTGAGTGGAACACACTACCATTTTCACTACTAGACTATAGGACAGTCAGGGAGTTCAGTTCAGTTCGAGGACGTTGACGACGGTGTGCCAGTTAGTCCAGGTTCTTGCAGTGGTGGGCTCCAGGGATCCTCCGATGCTACGAGAGATGGAAGAGAGAGATGACTCTTCTTCAATGTTGCGATCAAAAACTTCAGGAGAGTTGGGTGTTGACCTCCCACCCTCGTGCCACATTCCGGTCACGCTTAATGGATCGGGGCAACAGATCCTGACACCGGCATCAACCAAGTTACAACCCCGGCCGAAAGAAGAGAGGAGTTCTAGTAGTAAGTAAGTGATCGGGTAATGGTGACGGCATGGGGATATGGTATGGAAAGAATAGAAGGTAGTATTAATAGCTAAAGAGTGTGAGAGTAAGTGACAGATGGTCGGAGGTAAGGAGGGAGTGGAGCTTCCGGATAATCACTTTGGTTAGGCGGCTCCTTAGGTGCAAAGGCCTTGCCATACGGCGTCCAGGTGGGTCTTGAAGCTCTTCACCGAACTGGAATGGACTACTTCATTGGGTAGTCTGTTCCAGTCGTTCACCACCCATATGGCAAAAGATTGCTGCCTTATGCGGGTGGAAACTCTGACCTTAGCTAAATTAAGGTCATTACCCCTTAACAACGGGTTCTCGCTGGGAGGTAATCGCGGTCTCCCTCCTTCCTCAATGTCATCCAAACCCTTTAGGAGTTTGAATGCCTCGATCAGGTCTCCCCTTCTTCTTCTCTCCAGCGAGAAGAACCCAAGCCTCGCCAGCCTGTCCTCATATCTAAGGTTCCGTATTCCTGAGAACCATCTGGTGAAGTACCGCTGCGTCTTCTCGAGTACTTTTATATCCACAGCTAGATATGGGCTCCAGGCCTGGACATAGTACTCCAGATAAGGGCGCACAAAAGCCTTGTACAGTGGTAGCACATCCTGTGGCCTTCTGGAGCTCACTGCTCTCCTCAATTGGTAGAGAGCTCCTAGTGCCTTTCTAGCCGCCTGTCGGCACTGTGCACTTGGTTTGAAATCAGCCTGGATCTTAATACCAAAATCATTGGCCTCCCTCACTACATCCAGTTCACCTCCAGTGCCTGGTGGGTCGAGACTTCTAGCCTTCTATTCATCCTGCTGAGCGATGAGTCACTGGCATTTGCCTATGTTTAACGGCAAATCCCATAGCACAGACCATTTGTAGATCTTCCTGAGATCACTTTGCATAGTCTCGGAGTTGGGGTTGCCTATTAGCTTTGCGTCATCCGCGTAGATGAGACATGGGTTCTCCAAGCCCTGCACTAAATCAGTGATGTACAGTAGGAGCAGTAGCGGACCCAGAACCGACCCGTGTGGAACCCCACTACGGAGTTTTCCCCTGTGGGATACTTCCCCCTCTACCTTAACCTGAAAGCTCCGACCATTTAGACAACTACATATCCACCGTCCCACCTTGGGAGTCAGCCCAAAGCGCCGAAGCTTCATCATCATCAACCTGTGGTTGACCGAGTCAAAGGCCTTTTAAAAATCTAGATAGCAGACTACCACCCTGTATCCCCAGTCGATCCTATGCGTTACCTCTTCAAGGGAACACAGCAGGTCAGGTCAGGTCTGGTCAGGTTGCACAGGACGGAAGTCTTGAAGTGACTCTCGGGTTCGAGGCTGGCGCCCAATGGTCCCGGATCCTTGATGGTTTCTTGTTTTCTGTTCTTGGAAGATGCAACTGGAAAATCAGAGAAAACTGGAGGGGCGATATATCGTCTTTGAACCTGCAACCAGGGTAAAGGACTTGGGGGTAGTGGTTGTACGTCAACCAATTCGCACTTGAGTGACGCGTAGCCGAACCGATACGAATCCCGAAGTAAAAACACAATTGATCCGCAATGTTCTACGGTACTGAATTAACGAAATTATTACAATGTGTACAATAAAGCAAACCTCAAATATGCGGCCAAAAGCACTCAAACAAGCGAGCCAAATAAGATGTCCAGAGAGAGGCAAACAGTCGCTCCCGTTCTCAAACCACGCAAAATTCAAATGTGCCGGGCATAGAGTTAACAGATAAATAATGATGTGTGGTGTTCATGATCGTGAAATGTCAATATAAGAGCAACACACAGATAGAGTTATTGCACCATAAATCATTATGGGTTCGGAAGGATTTTCAAAAAATTCAGTATGAAATACAAACGTAACAGTAAGCTATAGTAAATGGGCCGGCAAATAATAACTAAGAAGGGCTACGGTAAAATAAATAATAAAATGCAAACAATAAAAATTTTTTCGCTTTTGTTTTGTTTTGTTTTTGAGTACATATATAAAGCTTCTTATAGGAGGACTCCGGAGGAGACAAATAGACCTAGATACTTATCAAGTCGAGACCTGAATGATGCTTTGCTTGTTGAAGAGACTATCTCTTCTGGCAGTGCGTTCCATTGCGAAATTGTCCTAAAGGTAAAGAAGGATGTGTGAAGTATGGTTCGGGGTTGGGGTTTGTATAGCGTTTTGCTATTACCCCGTGTTCCAACCGTGGGGGCCAAAGTGAAGAACTTATCTACTAGGCCCGAGGAGAACAGATGGTGTAGAAGAAATAAGTCACCCCTAATTCGCCTGATTTCCGGAGGATACGGATTAAGCTCAACTAGACGTTCGGGATATGGAAGATGTTGCTTTCCAACCACCGCTTTAGTTGCCGCTCTTTGAACTCGTTCGAGAGCATCACGATCACGGATCAGGCCGGAATGAACAACTTGACTGCCATATTCTAGGAGGGGACGGATACATGTGCCATAAATAAGTGGAAATTCATTCTTGGTGATATGGGAGGAAGACCTTCGAAAGAGGTGAAGAACACGGAAGGCAGATTTGCTGGCTAACTGGTTATGATATGAAAAGGAGAGATTACTATTTAACCAGAAGCCAAGGGCCTTGTGCAGGTTGGTATGCTGAAGAGGTTGCGTACCACTTATATGAAACGAAGCAGGAGGGGAGTTCCCAAAAGTCACTCCTACACATTTGTCATCATTGATAGGCAGATTTCATTCAACGGACCAGTGTTTAACAGCATCAATAGATGCCTGAAGCATGTGCGTATCAGTGCTCCAGATAGTGACATCATCTGCGTACACAGCTACGTTCGCACCACGTTCTGCCACCACTGTCTTTCAGTGTGCTGCTCTCCTTCTTCTACCATCCAGCTGCACTGACGGCCCGATTCAATCAGTGCAGCCTGATTGATGGACCAGAGGTAAGTGCGCAGCATCCAAACGTGGCTTAATTCCAAAAGTTCAAGGTCATTTGATTGATCCCCATTCTATAAGTCAAGAAAAAAAATCCCAACTAGTGACAAGTGTCGCTCAAAGGTTATTTCGCTTATTACAGACCGTAAACACAACGCGGGTTTCAATAACGCAGCGAAGAACCAAAAGAATTAGGGGAAATTTATTTAAATTAGAAAACTAAATTATTATTCGGTAATATAAAGGAACGAGTTCTCGAGAGGGAAATGCACCCATACCCAATCTTTAGGAATTGCACTTTCCACATAACTGTCAAAAGCTGATCTAAATACTGTTCGGAAACTTTCAGCCTAAGACCAATGACGAATACGAAATAAAACTAACTTTTTGTCAGCTTTCGAAGTGAAGTGAAGCTTCAAAACGACCTAAACTCCATCAATAATAATAATAATAATGTATATTTCACGAAGCCCATGAGGCATGCACAGAGCATGATCATATCTTCAGAATAGTCATATGTACATCAAAGCTGCAGATATATAGAAGGTCCATTTAGAGGATATACACAACGGCAGGGGACCGGAATGAAAACGCAGTGCAAATGGAACACAAAGTAAACAAGGTCACATACATTGATTTGGAGGATGGAGGATATACACTGGGTGAGAATGTGAAACGAAAAACAGAAGAGAGGGCAAACCTTGTATCGAGAGGATTCGATGTTCGTAATTAATAGGAGAAGAACACGGATCGATTTGTTTGCGAGACTAAGAACTCGAGAAGATGGAGACTCGTGGATAGAAATGAATGTGAAAGAGAGGTACAGCAAGTTTAAACAGTTCTGAAATACATGCTTCTCCGTCAGCTGCATAACAGCTTGCTTCTGAGAGCACATTCATTTGGGTTTCGGGGCTTCGATCGGCAATGGATTGATTTAAATTATTTAGGCGTTGGTCGCTTTGATGTGGGACTGCACCTTCCATATAGCTTTCAAAAGCTATTCTAAATACTATTCGGAAACTTTCAGCCTAAGATCATCGACGAATACAAAATAAAACTAACTGACTTTCACGAGGGGGTCTGTAATTCTGGCACTGAATCCATTGTTGCTCTCCGTCCAAATCGACCATATTCCATGCAGATTTGCAGACATTGCAACAGTTGGTCTTCATCGGTGATGCCGGATTGGTTTACCTTCTGCATTTAGTGTCTAGTTTGTACTTTGCTGATGACGTTGTTGTCAGTCTTCGGAAAACAGAATGCTCCAGTGGGTCACCTAGGACTATTTCGTTGTCCTCACTGTCGACTGATCGACTCAGTAAAACTGATTTTCGCTTTACAATCGAACCACTTGGTGAAGCTACTGGTGGATTATTAGTTCTCACCTTGACGCTCGTAGACGGAAGACAGGTATGCTTAATCTCCGTAGTCTGTTGCCAAGCTCTGTTTATCAAATAATATCTGGATGTCCAGGTACTTCCTTATCATAGCTGCTACACGTCGAAGTTGATTGCATTGAAAATTATAATTACTGTACCTAAAATATTCAAAGAGACGCCCAGCTGTTGAAGGACCGTCTGTTTGAGCCAACTTTGATGGCTTACTTATAACGTTTCTTGAGGCCGCTATTACCAAAGTGGAGTTTTGATCTGGATGCTTTTCGCTGAGGTTTATAGTTCACCTGTGTGGAATGAGACTTTGAATATCCCGATCAATCAGATCGAATACACTGGCTATACGCAAGCAGTGCAACAACCATTGCGAATAGAAAAAACATTCACACTTCGTTTCCCATGCAGTATCTACTTTATAAGCCTTGCTCTTACTATCCACGACCATGAAGAACCCTTGTACATCAACCAATTTGCACTTGAGTGATGCGTAGCCAAACCGATATGAATCCCGAAGTAAAAACACAATTGGTCCGCAATGTTCTACGGTACTGAATTAACGAAATCATTACAAATGTACAATGAAGCAAACCTCAAATATGCGGCCGAGAGCACTGAAGCAAGCGAGCCAAATAAGATGTCCAGAGAGAGGCAAACAGTAGCTCCCGTTCTCGAACCACGCAAAATTCAAATGTGTCGGGCATAGAGTTAACAGATAAATAATGATGTGTGGTGTTTTTGATCGAGAAATGTCAATATAGGAGCAACACACAAAGTTATTTCACAATAAATCACTAAATGTTTGGAAGGATTTTCAAAAATTCAGCATGAAATACAATCTTCTCTCGTGAAAAATTCATTCAATCTCACATGACTGCCAGTTGCTTAATACTATATTCCACGCAAATAGTGTTACTTGTATGAGAAACGGTTTAAACGACTGCATGCCACTGGGTATCGGATACCCCTCACGGAATCTTCAGCAAGGCGAATTCCATGCGTCACTTCCAGTGACCTTACTCGTTGTAGCACTTTTGTTAATACATTCACTAGTGAAGACCGAGGAGATAAGCCTGTCTTGAGGTGCATATCTTCCGTCTCCACTCGGTTGGTATTTAGGTTTCCTAAAGTCAACCTAGTCCTCACGGCAGATTCTCCCACTGCTCTCGGTAACCAAGTTTGGCGTAAATAAACACCTGCTTCAGTGCTACGACTTTCTACGGAGGCTAGGCATCTACGAAACGATATCTCACTATCACAGCACACTATGTTGCGCATCCATTGAAAGATGCGCTGCTTTTCGAACGTTGGCATACCAGATAGTTGGTTACATTTATTATTCATTTACTTAATGAGATGGAGACAACAAAATATCACATTAGATGACGGAAAGTATTCTGAAAATGCGTTGAACTGAGCCCAGCTACGATCAACTACCATAGTCTTGCATTATGCAAAGACTGGGCACAGCCTTCATGGCTCCCACGGCAGATTCATAACACTCACCGCTCTCATTCGGCAACATAGCGTAGAAGAAACTTATACCTAAACCGATTTCATCTACAAACATCGCATGCCAAAGCACGTACCCACCATAATTTAGCTGATGTGTGGCGTCCGCTAACAAAACACCAATAAACCTTGGAGACGCAGTGTAGCATAATTTTAGGAACAAAATAAATGTGACGAACGATGCCTTCGTTCAACCCTATCCTGACCTCTACCTGATTCTCCAGCATATCCTTAACTTTCACCGCATCGTCAAGTGAATTCGTCTAAAGCCTTCTTTGACGTATGGATCTTATATCCGCCGTAGTTAAGGGTCTCTGGAACCTGTGTGTGGCGAAATCCCTTAGCTCGCGAGTACTTCTAAAATTGTCCATCAAAGTACACAATTCCTCTTCCTGTTCTCCGGATAAACGATGATTACTTATATATAGACCCCGCTCGCCCACATGGAAGTGATGGTTGTGCATTAGACAATGTTTCATCACTTGGTATTCCCTCGCGACTGAGCGAATTCCAACGAATGCCGGACAATCGATATTTTGCAGCCTAAAATGGGTTAATTAAATTAGAACTGAGAGGCATAATTACCTGGTTGCAGTTGCCCCGCGCCTTCTTTGATGAAATAATACGGAAAACCCTCAGGCAGAGTCATTTTCCGACCAAACTTTCTTTTCCGTATCAGTTGTTTGGTTATCATTGACGCATAAACCTAGAAGGAAGTGCAAGTAACTCTTTGGAATTCACGTTAGTGAATCTAGAATCCGTCCAACGATCCACAACACTTTTTTCATCCGTTCATAAGCGACCGTTTCGTTGGTACAAGCGTGAAAGTGATCGTCGGAATTAGGTTACTGTATTTATACTTTCTGGACAAAGTCAATTAAGGTTAATTAAAACAAATTAAATTTTAACAAACCACTCAGAATCAGGTAAAAGTAAAATCTGTTCCATTTCGGCTGAATTCGACATCGCTTTTTCTAAAATACATTTAAAAATAAGTTGTTTTTAGAAATCCTAATAAATGGGATGCCACGCCACTACCATGGACCAGAAGGTCCTGCGGTATTTGTCTGGCGCACTTTGTCCCATTGCACTCATCAAGACTCGAAGTACACCATGGTCGCTTTTCCCGATGGGTTCTTCTATTCCCAAACTTAGAACGTCGTTGGGTACCCTAGTTACCAGGAGATCCTATATTGATGGGAATATGCCCATCACGCCAACGGGTTGCTCTATCTACGTGTTGAGCCAGTGTCTTCCTGTGTAGCATCATTGCTAACTTATTCCTGAATGAGTTTCCAGGGGCCATTTGTATCTCCCAGTCTACTTCTGGATCACTGAAGTCTACTACAATCAGGAGTTTATGACCTTTCCCTGTGACCTCATCTAGGAAGGCAAGCAGCTGGTCGTCTTCCCATGTTTCCGCAATAGGGCTGCGGTATAACCCAACCAGGGTGGTCTCGTCATTGCCAGCTTTGATCGGTACTTCCCCACCCTGTACATTCGAGGTAGCAATCTTAAAATCCTTCCTTTGTTCATGATGGTCAGCTACCAAGAGTACAACCCCACCTCCTATCCTGTCGCCCGGCCGGTTTATTCTGCTGCTTATAGAATAGTTCCTCGGTGTACGTCAACCAATTCGCACTTGAGTGACGCGTAGCCGAACCGATACGAATCCC